ATTTCGGGGGGTTCATCGTTCGTTAAAATTGAAAGACAAGCAAGTTGAGGCTTTCAGTGTTCATGTTGACGAGCTTCGGCAGTCAGCGTTTCTTCCTTCGTGATCCAGTTCATGGTCTGTGGCGGTTACAGCGTTGCACATGGTGATACTTCTTGGCTTGCAAAGGTTGTTTTTTTGCCTTGCAGGTGCCCAAATACGGGATGTGTGAACCACACGCGGCTGGTCTTTGGGTCCAAGGTGCGGTCGCGGTGGGGTGGTTCATGGTCCCCACAACATTCGGATCCCCTCCTTACAGCCTTAGGCTCAGGAGCTCGTGATTTGCGAAGTTGTTGTAAATCATCTTAAACTTTCTCTGGGTTGCTGCAAGGAGGGGGTGCCGAAAACCTAAGTCCAGGTCCTCACCCTTTGGGGCCGCGGTCACCTAAGTGCCCGCAGCTTGCAGGAACATGCAGGAACCGCTTTTGGGCCAGGCACTGGCTCAAGAAGACATCCCGCCTTGCGCCTGAAAGCCTCAACCAGACTTCAGTAGTCAGAGCCGCGCAGGGAGTTATCGTGAGGGCTCAGGCCCAAGCCCGGCCAAGCAGGCCTCCCCCCAATCACGAGATTGTTTGAAGTAGACTGCGGCTACGATTCGGTGGATTCCGATGAAGACGTTCGCAAGCTAATCATCAGCGATCCGTGCTCCATCCAGTTAAGGTGACTAACGATGCCGCGGTGTGCACGAATAGCGAATGCATTTTCCCCTCAATGCCCTGCCAGGGCATTAAGGACGACAGGTCAGAGGTTCTCTAGGACTTGGGGCTCTGTAGGGCTGACACGCCAGAACAAGAAACGAGTTTTTCCTGGCAATCCTGACCCCAGAGTTGGTGTTCGAAGGCGACGTGCCCCCAATGCGGGGCATCTAAGGCCGGGATGCCATGGGTGTCAGTTGCGGTGTTGTGGATTGTGTAATTCGCCAGTTTGTTGCCGTGAGGGTATGGGGTCATGGATGTTGAGAAGACTCCATTCCCGTTTCGGGCGAAAGGTTTCCGGGTAAAACAATCGTATGACTTCAGGAGCTCGCAATAAGGACGTTCTGCACGAAATTCCGAACTCCCGCAGCCCTGTACAGCCGATGATGGTTAGCCGGCAGCTCCGCTACAAGACTTGTATAAGTGCAGGCATCCGGTGGTGGCAGAGGTGGTGGCATGGACTTCTCCTCCTTCGCCGGCTTTGCACAGGCCGTGCTCTTTCGTTTTATGCATAAAGCTGAGGTACGCTCTAGGCAATTTCAAGAGGTCTGCTGCTCAGAAGTTGCTTGGGTTTCAGTCTCGTTCTCAACGAGTTGTGCAGTTCAGGTGCACGGTGTCTATCAGAGGCTGTCGTTGCGGAGGTTCAGGTTGTTTCCCTCTCTGCCGCGCGAACGGTTGCCTTGCAGGACTCCGGCCTTAAACCCTGCCTAGGACTCACCCTGAACAGCCCCTCACAACAAGCTGAGTGCACAGACGGGTATGTGCGCTGTAGACGCAAGGTTCTGAGATCCCGGAGTCAGGATAATGACGGAGAGTGCCAATTGGGGATCGGTAGCCCTGAACCCTGTGGCTGCAGCTCCAAGAACCTGCGCCTTAAGTGCAGGCCATGGCTGCAATGTCTGGCCAGGTGGGACTCTGGGGTGTGTGGGGCAGGTATGGCTACCATCTAGCTGACCTTGCAGCCTGAGTGTTGATGTCGTCAAACCTCAGACCCAGACTGGAACGGCTGCTTCGCACAACATTCTTGGCAATGTAAGGCTCCCAGGCAGGAAAGCCGCGCGTTATGAAATTTGTTTACTACGCTCTAGGACGCTTACATAAATTAGACTGGATTCCCGTCATTCCCTTCACAGCACCGCCAAGAGCAGGGCGGCATGGATGGAGACTGGCAATGCACGGAGCCTGGCTACACTGAGTGCGGGCATACCTCGGTTCGCCAGAATGAAGCACGTTCAGAAGCTGCAGGAAGTGTAGGCCGGAGGCATTGTCTGACAACCATCCTATCACGCAGTCTGGAGATAGTGGGACATGACTTCGCGGTGCCAGGCCCAAACGATGCGTGCATCAACCACAAGAGCATGGTGTCCTAGCCGCTTCTCATGGCATCTGAAGCAATTTCGAGGGTTCTCAGATTGACCTGGCATCCATGAATCCTACGAAGATCAGATCGAAACAGTGAGGATTCCATGAACGCGTGTGCTGCTTCTTGTATCATGATGCATTGGCACAGCATGGTGGAAAATAATAATTATGGATGGCGATGATTCCCCAATACAAATGTGGCACAGCCTGTGGGGTTAAAACGTCTGACTCTGGGCAATACATGGGGGGAAGTGTCATGCCCGCGGTGCCTTCTGGGTGTTTCTACAGCGCTGAATCCTACCAATGCATGGGGGAACTTCTCCGGTACAGTAGTGGCTTCTCCGGTAAAGTAGTGGTCCTTGTGTTTTTATGGTGCTCGCATAGAAAAGGTGTCGGAGTGGTCTGCTGGTGATCTTTTGGGTGGTCCGGTCTCCTGGTGATCTCTGCCGGGCTCTTCGTGTACTCCTGGTGGTCATGGTGGTCGTCCTGGAGTGGTCGTCTTGGTCATGGTGGTCGTGCTGCTCTACCAGTCTACCACTGTGAAGTGATCATAAATCGAAATATAAATAAAATGCAACTAGATATGCATACATAAACACAATGTAATAAATATATAGATATATAGATACAAGGAAATAGATGTGTGTGTGTATGTATATATGTAAATAAATACATACATATATATATACACACAAACATATATATATATATATCTATAAGACAACATATGAATAGATGTTCTGCGGCAGGTATTTGGGAAGCATGCTTCCTGCCCATCGTGTGGAACAGCGAGGCCGCCTTGGAGCCTTCGAGAGAGCTCGAGCCGAGGGTCCCGTGGGACCCTGATGCTATAAGTTTGGAAAATAGGGGACCCTATTTCAGTACCCTAAATAGTAGGATCCTTATTATAAAGACCCCGAAATGAGGTACCCCTCATTTTCGGAAACTCCCATATACCATAATAATTCATACAGTATATTATCAATACAAGGCTACAATGAATGCAGATAAGGTTTGGGGTTTCGGCGGGCGCAAGCAGGGCAAGCTGGTGTTCAACGTATGCGACTCCTAGTGATGGCAGGATGCAGTCGACTCGAGTGCGTGTGCGGCCAAACCCCAGAACGCTGAAACCCTACCGTAAGGTGACCGGCAGGCTGTAACTTTCGAGTGTGCGGCTTTGCTTGCAAGCGGCTCGAACTCTCCGACGCACCCCCGTCCTCCCTGGCAGCCATGGCGGAAGTCCCCGCAGCCGAAGTTCCCCAGGCCAGGCTTCTAGAGCTAATAGCAAGACGATCGTCAGTATAAGTATCAGGATCAGATCGAGCATCATCTTCTCATCCTCATCCTCATCCTCATCGTTACCGTGATCAGTTTGTTCGTTGATATGAGCTGTCACCACCATAATCCACCTCAGCCGCCTCCTCATCCACCATCCTGAGCAGCGTCTTCGTCATGCAAACTCCTCGGCCCAGTAATGCCAAGAAGATTGCTGTGCAGCGGTGCTTCTCCAGGCCGAGAAGGATGAGCTCTTCTGCGCCTATGCCGCCATGATCCTGAAGGACATCCTTGCTCCAAGCCCTGACCTCAACCCGAATAGCGAACTCAAAATCAAACCGCAAGCCCTCATCGGTAAATCTGATGCATTGAGTGGTCGAAGACAACCAAGCTGAATCAGAGCGTGCTTGAGCTTCAAAGACGACCCGGACCAGCATGCCGCTTTGTTGCCCCAATGATACGGTCCACCAGGAGCAGGCAGTTTCAGAGCGTCAGTAGCCCAAGGTCAAGCGTCGGGTTCCAAGTCACATGCCTCGAAAGTCCGATCGACAGCAGAGCCCCTGGCAGCTGGAGGACAGCGAGCTTGACATCACGGAGGAGAACCTCAACACGTTGATCAAGGCCTAACTACCGTCCCTCAACCCAGCCACAATCCGGGGTTTCGCAAATCTTGGCTGTGGGGTTCAGGGTAAAGCTGCACCACCGGCCCTTGTAGTCCACGTGAAAATTGGGCTATGCTTAGTCGAAGCAACCCTTACTCGACCATCGATGGCGAGCACCCAAAGTGGTGAAGCCACTGTGTCGTTTGTTTCCGTTGACTCTAGTAATAGGGGTTGTGCTTTTGGTCTAGGGGAAATTAGAGACCTTTTGGGAGCAGACAGTTTGCACGGAGAGGCCGCTGGTGGCTCCATCGATTCCTTCTTCCCAGCCCTGTTCGCGAAGCTGTGCCAAGGCAAGGATCTGGACACCTGGCTGTAGTCGAGATCCAGTCCAGGCTGCAGTCACGTCCTCAAGGTAGACCCCTTCGGAAGCGGTCCGATGGTAAACAACTTTCCGTCAAGGTCCACAGGCTGCCGGTCGACAGACTTCAACCTAAGACCTTGCTCGGGTAAGTCACACGTATGCTGCGCGCCTTGAGCCGAGGACAGCATGCTGAAGTTCGGTGGCGGTGGCGGCGGCGGTGTCGCAGTGGCTGGCGGAGGCGCTGCGGATGCCGGTGCAGGCCTGGTTGTCGGGGGAGCCGCACATGGTTCCTCAAAAGAAACTGCCAAGATCTGGTCCCATACCCCAAGTCTGGATACGACGACCAGAAGGAAAGCGAGGTCAACACGACACAATCTCAAGGTGTGAAGGCTTCCCTGAACTCCAGCAAGCGACAACGCAGTCGAAGCCTGCAGGTGGTGGCGAGGCCAAGAAGGAGGAGAAGAAGGCAAAGCGGAATCCAGCGAGATTTCAATTGAGGGGAGTTCAGGACACGGGTTCCTTGTTAAGTCCGGGGGCGCTTCATCTTGTGCTTGTTACAGTGACGACGGGAATCAGCCTAATGGTCTGTTTTTGCGTGCGTGGACAGGTCGAGGAGGAGGAAGAGGAGGAGGAGATGGACTTCGACCTCTTCGGCTGAGTGTCCCCCGGCAGCAGCAGGGTTCCCTCTGCCCTTGTCCTGTCGAACACAGTGGAGCCCACAAGCTACAAGAAGGGGTAGCCGGAAAGTAGTAAGTTGAGAGAGCCCTGTTTCCTGGATGCCCAGGCTCAAGGAGCGATTCGGCCTCCGGTGCGCGTGGGAAAATCGAGCACTCTGCTTCTCTCAGCGCTTCAAGCCGTAATGCTTAGAACCGCGTATGGACTCCAGTACTTCTAGTGGGGCTTGATACGGACCACCATGTTCATATGCCTGTAAGGCGGATGAGGAGTGCTGTTGAGCAGATTGGAAAGGTTGCTGATGCGAGCTTGGTGGCGGTGTGGAGGTTTCACAAGGGACAGGTCCAAGCTCTGCATCCTCAGGCCGTGCAGGTCAAAAACAGTCAAACGCTTCGCACAACAAGGAGAAACGAGGCACTTGCCTGTTTCGGAGAAAGAACCCCGCCCGAAACCCTTACATATACCCCTTATCCTACATCCTCTGTCCCGTATGAGTGAGCAAGCTTTCCGCGGCCGGTGCGTAGCCCTATGAGAGGATGGATGCCAGGCTGCAGCAAAATGGGGGTGTTCAAGTTCGGTGCCTTCGGATCCTTCAGCGCCGTTCCGATTCGAATTCGAAGGCCTGTACATGGACTGGCGGTTTGAAGGAGTTGAGATGTCTTGTAGGGGACTTCTGGGCTCGCAGACTTTATCAAAGTTGAATACGGCAGGGCCGGCATGGGGATGTGGCGCATGGGAGTCGAAGCAAAACAGGTTAAGCTAACCGGGCCAAACGTCACTTCCTGCTATCCCACAAGGAAGCGGACAGAAAGCTGGCGCTGGCCACAAAGGCGTGCTGTGTGCCCTTTCTTTGGTTATGTAATTCTTGCTTTCTTTCTGTATTTCTTTCTTGCTTTTCTTTCTTAATTTCTTTCTTTCTTTCGCTTTCTCACTCACTCCCTCTCTCTCTTTCTTTCCCTTTCTCTTTCTCTTTCTCTCTCTCTCTCTCTCTCTCTCTCTCTCTCTCTGTTAGAGTCAGAGTTCAGGAAGTGCCGGTAGAAGCTTTCGGGCTTCATGGGCCGGCTCTTCTTAGGAGCGTTCTGGGGTCGGCTTTCTGCGAGTCCGCTAGATGAGATGCGGGCTGCACCAAGCTGCAGTATTTACATGGGTAGTTTTCTACGTAAGGGTCCCATTTCAGGTCCCCAAATGGTACGAGACCTGCCACACGTAGCCCTTACAAGGGACCCCAATTTAGACAACTATAAGGGGTGTTTTTGCTTGAAGCCAAACAAGGCCTGCCCCTGCAAAAGACACCTCGAGTCGTCGTGTCGGATAATGAGAGAGATCCCTTTCAGGCACAGCTGTTTCGGCGCATCGTCCTCTTTGTAATTCCGGGATATCTCCTGGTAGTGGTCGGATGCTTGGCGCCGGGGGCCTCAGTGACTCTCAGAGCCCCGAGCCCTCAAGTGCCGGGAATTCCGAATCCCCCAAAAGGCTGTCTACAAGCACCATCTTTTGGATCTAAGCTTAACAGTGGAGCCCGATTTTTTAGGCGTCTGTTCGCAAGCGCTTGACACGACGCAAACATTCTGAGCTCCCAGTCCAAGTGCAAGTTTGCTCTATCATAGTATCTTCTGCTGTGCTGGAGTCCCTAAACCCAAGACCCCAAGCCTTAAACCACACCGTACAAAGAGACCTTTTAGGACGGCGGTGGACAAGGCCTTCGTCGGCCATGTCTCCTCCTTGCAGCTCCATAGATGCATCCAGGGGTCTCAGAAGTTAAACTCCAGAAAGTACCACACCGAAATCTGCGCCACATCCGCCACGCTCAACTCCAAACCCGAACGCTCGATCAGATGAGGCTTTTAGGGGCCTAATTTGGGCCTAAACCCTCTATATCCCTCTATACCTTTTGAAACCCATCCAAACCTTTCGAGTTTTCAAGGGGCCCCTCTTGGGAAATGTCGGCATCCGGCCCAGGCTCGCCTCGATCGGTCCGGCCTCCTCCGTCTACGAGATGTGGACGCAGACCATCCGCGCGACTCTGCGGTGATCTCTGGGGATCCCATGGGGCTCTCAGGGGCTCAGAATGTCTTGAGAGTTCAGGATGCTACGGATGAAGCTTCATCACATCATGTTAGAGGAAAAGTGATACTGGAACAGCTTCCAAAAGCCAGCGGTGATCCTGGGATCCGGATGCGAGCGCTGGCAGAGGCCATCAATGGAGCCCAGCTGGCGCTGCTGGGGAGCCCTCCGGAGCCTTGGCTTTGAGTTGAAACAGCCTCAGGATGCGGTCTCTTCAGGTTTACGGTTTAGGGCTTCAATCTTGGGAATAGGAAACCTGGGAGTAGGAGTTTCGGCTCTCTCGACAGTTTGAGGGTGGGGTCAGGCCCTGAATCATCCCTTGAGACCAAAGCCCCCACCTTAGCTAACCCAAGAACTCTCTCACATCACAGTAGCCCTTTTCATGCTGTAGATTTCGTAATTGTAGTAAGACTTGCAGCAACCTTTATACTTTGGTGCCTATGCTGGTTGTAGCGCAGCGTGTGTTTCTTGGTCTCTGCTCCCATCATGTTTACGTGCGCCGCCCCCTTTTAGTCCCGTACAGACGACCCGCAACCCCCCAAATTCAAAGATAGACTAATCTTTCACCACCCTCCCCCCGCCGTGAAAGAGAAACCTTAGTCTTTCGCCCCCTGCCTGCACGCGACCCCCCCCCCGACAGTGAAAGATGAAAGGTAATCATTCATTCACCCACCTCTCCGCCAAATTTCAACTTTCACCCCCTTCCCTCGCGGTGAAAGACTAAATAAAATAACATCTGCCCGTGAAGGATAGATTTTCTCTTTCACCCCCCTCCCCGCCCCCGGCCCGGTGAAAGATACCTGTAAAATTTCACGTTTCACTCCCCTGCCGCCGCCAACCCCCCGCCCCCCTGTCCCTAAACCCTAAACCCTAAACCCTAAACCCTAACCCCCCCCACCCCCCCCCTTGTCGCGGTGCGGCCAGGCCGAGATGAGCAGAGCCTCGATCCGCCGGGGCACTGAGCAGTGCTTTTGGTTTTCCAGGGTTTGGGTGGTTTAGGGTTCGGGTTGGGGCTATAGGGGTTTTGGGGTTTAGGGATTTAGGGTTAGGGTTGGGGCCTATAAGGGGGTTTTGGGGTTTAGGGGTTCAGGGTCTGGGGGTTTTAGGTTTCGGGGTGTTTGTTTCAGAGCGATTGGCCCAGCATTCTGGGTTTTAAAGCGGCCGTGTCAGAAGCTTCAATTGAAGGGCCGTTTCTTGAAGCTATGATTCGGAACAAGTCTAGTTGAATAGGCATCTGAAGGAATCACGATTTGTGGGTCCATTTTTCGCGTCCTAGGCCCTGTCTGTTGAAGCCCCCTGCTCAAGTTGTGGAGGCATTTTACTTCTAAGCTAAGCCGTGTAGTCCTGCATTGGTTTGAAACTCTGTTCTGATGCCGAATGCAGCAACACAAGAGTGAGGCGAGCTGAAGCACCGAAGCCCCGCCCCCACGAGGTGCAGTGGGATTTGTCTACATGACGTCTGCCGGGCTTTTTGGAGGGACGCTTGCCTGCGTCCATGGTGCAGGCACTAGGATCCAAGAAGCCTTGGACATAAAGAGAACTGTACAGTGCTTGTCCTAATCATCGTCGTCCTTGTCCTCGTCATCCTGACCTCGCTGGGCTCTGTGTTCAGGAAGGGGCCAGGCTCCCTTGTACTTAGGCGGGTCATGACCTGCGACGAGGAACCCAAGACTGAAGGCAACACCATGTGACAGACCATGCACGCAGTCCCAAAGACGACACAGCAGCCTGAAGTTTGGAACTGTCCAAAGCCGATCCTCACGCTGGTTGCAAGAACTGAGATCACTCACCCAGCAGCCTCAACACGAAGCTGTCCTCTCCTTCTGGTTTTGCTACTGCTACTGCCATCGCTACTCCCTCCTCCTCCTGCTCCTGCTCCTGCTGATTCTCCTCCTCCTCCTCCTACTCCTACTCCTCCTCCTCTTACTCCTGCTGCTGCTGCTGCTGCTGCTGCTGCTGCTGCTGCTGCTGCTGCTGTTGGAACTTCTACGAGTAGGAGTGCTGCTGCTCAGTTGTTTTCGTGGTTAGTCTTCTATTGTGGTGCTGCTGCTGCTGCTGCTGCTGCTGCCGGTCTGCTGCTGCCCTCGGTGCTGTCATTGCCACCATGCTAGCCTTCTTTAGGCTCGTGTTTTTGCCTCCTGCAAATCTGACGGCCCTCTGCCCACGAGAGACACCAGGATCGCCGCATTTGTCATGGCTCCCTCTGCTGTCCGATGGTTCGGGGCGAGACGCTGGGCTGACTTGATTTATGGTTCAGGGTTGGGGGATGCAGGGTACTTCCAGAAGGACCTCTGTTGTGATGAAGTTCTCGTTTTCTGGATCTGGGTTTCAAGCAGTAGTACTTCTGCTTGCTTGTTTGGCGCCTTCGCGGCGAATGGTAGATCATGCTTTTGGCAAGTTCCAGCTGGCGAGCCAAGGTTCAGAAATGTTTCCATTTGCGATGGCCTACCTGCAGGCAGGTTGAATCACAGTGGCAACGATACAATATTGTCGACTATGACAGTTGTGCTTCAGTTCCGGATGACGACGATGGTCATATTGATACTGATACTGATACTGATGGTGTTGGCGATGGTGAGGTGCTCGGCACCATTGTCAGAGTGATCATGCTGATGGGCCAAAGGAAGAGGATGACGGTTGGAATGACGCTTCTAATGATGTTGATGATGTGATGATTGTGATGAGGAGGAGCATCGTGGTACTAACGGAGGATGATCGTGTTATGATGATGGCCGCCGATGACTGTGATGATGACGGTCAAGATCATGAGAATTACATCAAGTGGGTTGATAAGGCTCGCAAGGTTGCCGATCCGATTACCACATCGTGATCGTGGTGGTGGTGTTTCTTTCGCTTCCTCCCATTCTCCGACGAACGCGTCTGATATTGCATCGCACACAAGGAGGATGATCATGATTTCTATTATTCTATTGATGGTCGGAAATCTTTTCAGGACGCTGCAGCTATCTCACTGTACGAGGATACGATTTCGAACTACATGTTGTGAGAAGAGATTTCTCCCCAGCCAAAGCCCCTGCCGCGAGCACCCTGGAAGGTTCGCGCCTTTTTCATGGTCATGGGCCGCGTGTCCTGGCAGTGTCTGAGTGTTCGTTCGCATGCCAATGTGAACTTAGCAATGCCTGGGGAGATGTACCTACCGGAACGAATTGATATGTTCTAACACTGCTTTCGGACACCGCTTGCATAGCATGGCACGTGCATTGGGGAGCCTCATGCATCTCTGCTGAACAGGGACGTTGCTGCAGCGGCAACATCGTGCTTTGAACATTGATTCAGCAGGCCAGTAGGTGAATGGTAGTAGTGCGCCCGCATGATTGCAGCATCAAAAACACCCAACATGGTCGTCCATTCGATCACTTTTAGTATGGCCCCTTTATCAACCACCGAGGTTCGGGACAGTTGCAATGTTGTTTGCTTGGCGGAGAAAGACTCTGTGACCCCTTTTGTGGCGTCCGTGCCCCTCGGTCAGTTTGGGTTTCCGGGGCACAGGGCCTCGGGAGAAGGGCTGGGGATTACAACTTGGGGCATCGGCGCTGCTGCAGGGCTTGGGGGTGTGGGCTTTGCTGTCAGGCAAAGGATGGAGGGGAGTTGTTCAAGGAGAGGTGAGGGTGTGAGGGTTTTTGGCAGCTCGATGGTATGCACCGGGTCGTGATGCATATTCATGCCCGAGGAGAGCTGAAAAGAGCCTCCCACCCCCCGCTTCGTGTGCTGATGAGTGCACTAACATGTAATGAGACCCAGCGGCTTCGTGGCTGCTTCCCCTCCTTCCCAGGATAGCTTTTGTGGCTAATGTGCTTGGCGACCTGCTCCTTTGCCCAAAATATGGTGCCTTTGGAGCTGCTGTTGCCACGGATGTGGCAACGTCTCGTGGCGGCATTTTGAAGTTGCGCGTGCACTTGTTGTCACAGGGACTTCAATTAAAAATGCTGCGCCATATCTATCTCTATTTATCCATACCGTCTATCTATCGCTTTGTCTATCTATGATTGTATCATTTATTTATGTATCTATCTATCTGTCTATCTATCGATCTATCGAACTATAGATCTATCGATCCATCGATCCATCGGTCCATCGATCCATCGATCCATCGATCAATCTATCCATCTCTCCATCTACCTATCTCTCCATCTATCTGTCTATCTATCTATCTATCTATCTATCTATCTGTCTGTCTATATATTTATCATATTTATCTATCTATCGATCGATCTATCTATCTATCGATCTACCGATCGATCGATCGATCTATCTGTCTATCTATCTATGTATCTATATCTATCTATCTATCTGTCTGTCTGTCTGTCTGTCTGTCTGTCTGTCTATCTACTTATCTATCTGTCTAGCTATCTACCGATCTATCTATCTATCGATCTATCGATCGATCTATCTGTCTGTCTGTCTGTCTATCTATCTATCTATCTATATTCTTAGAATCTAATCTAGTCTAGTCTAATCTAAACTTTCTAACCAAAACTGAAGCGCCAAACCCAAAGCGCTGTCCCGAAGCCCTGCATCACTAGACATCGCTAGACCGCACAGCTGCCCATCCAAGTATAAACAGGGGTTTAGGGTTTACGGCATCCGATTATATAGTATATTATTGTACATTGTATACAGTATATTATAGTATATTATCGTATTTTTTTTAGTATTTTTTAGTATTTTATAGTATACTATAGTATATTCTAATATATCATAGTATACTGTAGTATATTAAAGAATATTATATACACAGTCCCTGACTCCGCGAAGGTCCGTGTAGTATATTAAAGAATATTATATACACAGTCCCTGACTCCGCGAAGGTCCGTGGCTGCAGGTTTCACTTTGCAAAGCTTGCGGAACTCCGGTCTCTGGCCAAAGAAGTTTCCGTGTCCGGGCAGGACACTGGCTCACGGCGGTGGAGGGTTTCTGGGGTTTAGGGATGTTTAGAGTTTAGGGTTGACATCTGCAGTTTGATGGGGAACTGCGTCATCAGATGGGGTCGTGCCGGGAGGATGCCGCAAAACTTCAAGCCTTCGGGTGCTACGAGCAGACTAGCAAGGGGATCAAAACAAAAAGAGATGCCGAGTTTACTCTGCATTGGCTCTTGGATGTCTGCGATGTGGTTCCTGACAGGAGAGAAAGCAGGCACTTTGCAAAGTATGCTTTCAATCTCTTTTTAAGCGCCGCAGCCTCAGCTGCCGGGTTGGACACCTGTCTAAGCTGCAGGAAGTCTATGATTGCCCAAAGTCTCCGTTAATATTTCTCTGGAAACAGGGGGATTGCTGTCCCTTCATGAACTTCATGACCTTCCCGCATGTCCGTGGCCCGCCTATCCACCCCAGCGCGGTCCACCTTATCTCCGAGGGAACACGTTCCGACCCCAAAACCCCAAGCCCTAAACCTCAACCCCGGCGCCAACAATTCCCACAAAAGGCGGTGGCGCTCCTGATGATTCTGATCTCGGAGACGCGCCTGGCCTCGAAGATGGGTACGACCTCCGGCGCCGCGCACCAGACCGAGGGGTTTAAGGTTACCGTAGGGGTCTCGGGTGCTCCGTGAGACCTGTGGGGATTCGGAATCGGTTTAGGGTTTAGGTTGGGGTGCCGGATGGAGGCACGGGGCTCACTCAAGAGAGTCCAAAAACACAGCTTCAGAGTCTTTGAACAGTCCACCTTGCCCAATGTCTCTCATGTCATGGAAGGAGTCCTAGAGTCTCGGGTGGGCTTGCACCTGGAGCCCTGCCGAGCAGCAGGATTCTCGACGCGATTTGGCGCATTGCTGGCCTCTCGCTGAGTTTGCCGATGGAGTGGGCAGGTGGGCGTCTTTCTGGCGTCTTTGCATACGGCTTGTCCCAGGCCCCCTCTCCACCATACAGGCAACTCACATGCGTCGTGCCTGAAGCCTGCAGCTGCCGCATGCCACTGGACAGGCCAGACCTTTCTGTCCAAAGACCTCACGGGTGCAGAATGGAGACACATTGCCTGCCGGCGGCAGATCGGGCCGTGAACCCTGAAAACTCTGAAGCGAGCCTAGAAACACTAAATGCCCGTAGTCGTCATCATCTCCCTCGTTTCAGTGCAACTAAGGCGTTATTCGCATAGGATCCCCCAAACCTAAATCTGACTGTTGGCACCCGTGTTTCAAGCGCAAACCCCTTCGACACCTTCGACCATCTGATCCTGAGGCTTCAGTGATTTCGGCTGCGTCGATGTGCTTCTCCATCCTGAGCGCAGGCCATCAGGGCTTGGGGTGTGGGTGTTGGTGATGCGCTTGAGACCGAAGGGCTTTGGGGGATTTGGATGCGAGAGTGGTGCAGAAATGGCATCGTGTATCAATGTGAATGCGTACCAGCAAAGTGGTTTCGTGGTTGACGATTCTCTCAAGAAGCGGAGTGGGGGGCATCGGTCTTCTTGCTTGGCTTTCACGGTCTAACCTAGCCTTGAAGGCTTTCAAAATTCGATGGTGTGTCTTCAGCTTTTTTCCAACACCCTCTGGATGATGATGCTAATCATGTCCAGCCCTCACATGTCCTTAGAACATGTACAACAGAGCCAGGGATGTGCCAACAGACCTGAAGCAAATGGACTTCTCAAAGCTCTGGCGAGGATGCGTGCTGGCCTTCCTGCGCTTTCGCCTGGGCCTCAGCCTCTCAGATTCCTGGGTTTTTTCGCCCCAGGGATGTAAAAACCTGCTCTTGGGAGCGAGCATCCCATCCCTCCTGCCGCGCCAAAAAAGCAAAGGAGGCTGCAAGCTGCAGTGGCTGTGGCTACAGTGTGTGAGTGCCGGGGCTGGGTTTTTTTTGGACCGTGTGTGGTTTTTTTTTTGACCTTTGTTGACAGACGGGGGGTCGAGGTCATTATAGGCCCCTGCACCCAGCCAGCCCAGTCGCGGTCAAAAAAGCCCACGTGGCCCCATACACATGCCCAAACGAGGTCAACGCAGCCTACCTGGCCCCCCGCACGAAACAGGAACGGTCTGCACGAGGCCACGAAAATCTTGCGCACGGGCGCTTTCGAGCCCTACACGGCCCTTTTGGCCCCCCTCGCACGGCCAAGTGAGAACCCGGACAAGGTCAAAGCGCCCACGGCAGACGAGGTCAAGCAGGAGCCCCACAAGGCCAAAAAAACAGCCCGACGAGCTCAGCGGTTTTTATTTGACCGCGCAAGGGCTCCTCTGTGCACGTGTTGTGGGGGGGGGGATTTTCACGATGCAGGTGCTTTAGGGCACAAGGCACCTGTCCCCGACAGACTGCGGGGTCAAGGTCAGTATGGGTTCTGCACCCAGCCATCCCAATCCCAAAAAAAAGGCCCGCTTTACGTGGCCCCACACACAAAACAGGAAGGGGGGCAGTATGGACACGGTCTTTTTGGGCCCCCCGCAAGGCCTAGCGAGAACCTAGACAAGGTCAAAGCGGAACCGCCCCCAGAAGGCCAAAAAACAGCTTGACGATCTCACCTGAGCCGCTTCCCGGACCTGCCCCCTTCGGGCGCAGCGTGCTCCAGAGCCGCCGCCTTCGGGCGCAGCGTGCTCAGAAGCCGCGCTCGAAAGCGGTTTCTGAGCACGCTGCGCACGCTGCGCCCGAAGGCGGCGGCT